GTGAGCTGTCACCTGGACTGTGTCAAAAACACATGGATTTGGTGTGCTCCTGCTTGTCCAACGACTTGCTCCAGTTCTTGGATGGATGCATTACATAGTTGTTGGATACTTGGGAATTTCTGAAGCAGAAGGGAAGCTTTAACTTTTCCAACTCCTGGGATTTGCTGCACAGTTCGAAGGAGGGATGGCTCAGAGAGCACAGTGTGTTTCTTCCTGAGAAAAGGGTTCTTACTAGGCTCTTTAGTTTGTTCTTGGACCTGGACCAGAAATCAAAGCGGGGAAAGCACATGAACGCCCTCTAGAGGACAAGACATCTTAAAACTTACTTTGTGGAAAATGAGTTTTTCTATTTGGTTCAGTGTGACATACAGGTATAAATGTCTTATTTTACATGTTTTCATCTACTATGAATATATTTCAGAAATCAGCAAAATTGCTGGAAGAACCATGTGACTACACAAAGATTAAAAATGAATTTATAAAAATGTGAGTTTTCACGACAAAGATGAACCCTTTCGCACATACAGTAGTACTGCGCTGTCAGTGAAGGCAAACATGGTTATACGGGTGGATGGATGGGTGGACAGGTTGAACTATTAGGTATGTCTATGTAGGGGGGAGTGTGCCCAAGACCAAGTATAGGGTTGGCAGACTGTGTTTTTACAAGTGCACTGCTATGTTCTGTAAGGATTACCAGGTGTATAGTAAGAATTGACAAAGGACAAGGTTGTAGTCACTTCTTGGGCATAGCCAGCTACCCAGAGGGAGCAAGTAGTTGGACCTGTGGGCTCGAGACCTTAGTCACAGGGGACATCAAGTTCAACTGGCATAACATACTACACAAAACATTGTTCTACCTCCTACTTTGGCAAGTAGCGACTGGGATCTTAAAAGCTTGTAAGCAGCCATCTAGATGCATTAATGGGTCTCTCCTTGTCCAGAGCAAAGAAGAATAAAGAAGACCAAAGATTCATGGAAACAGTTAGTCCAAATGACTGGTACACCATGTGATCCTCGGCCTATATGACTATGAGACCAGAAGAACTAGATGGTGCCTGGCTACCAC